CCTATGTTTTCTTATTATCAGAGAAGCTTTCGAATTCAGTCTCTCCGCTGGAACCGATGTTGTCATTGTGGCTAAAAAATCTTTAGCCATCCTTGAGAGGTTTAGGAAAGATTTTTCATGAATTGACCACCAATCCAAAATGCCGATGTTTTCGTCAACTCGAGGAATTGCATAATACTGCGTAAGCTCTTTCTTCCAGTAATTTCTTTGATCGCGATCCTCTTCTTTTAAAAATAAAAAATTTATGTGACACATATACAACTCATGCTTAGATGTGTAGCTACTGGTTGCGCTAGACCGCCGACTGATGGCGTTGATCGCGATGTCGTAAACCGTCCTCTAATTGGCATCCTTGGACAGAACGCTTATGACGCGACCACACGACATAGTGAAAGGCTATGTTTACACCCTGCATTTAGGGCTGCCGCACACACCTTCCGTAACAATAACCATAAGACTAGAGACCCTCTAACAGAGACTGGCCATCAGGCGAGTCCGCCATTTCCTAGCGAAATTCTGCAAGTGAGAGAGAAGTATAGGTCATTTCACTCTTTCACTCACACGCATGTGTGCGACGTGCGTTTATATATATATTCGTTTATTCTAGTTGATTTAAAGTCGTGATTTTTGCTGTTTAAAATAGTGATCATAAAAATGGGTGGTTGCACAGCACAATTTTGCAACAATTCGTCAAAAAAAGGATATAGCATGAAATTGTTTCCTACAAATCCTGAACGTCGGGCCTTATGGATAAAAAACGTTGGCTACAAAAGTCATTTAATAGGAAAAAATTCATGTCTGTGTGAGGTTAAGTAGCATGCTCATTTAACAAAATTAATCAAGTGTACTAATTACTATTAATGAAATTAAAAATAATGTTATAAATCTTGTCCCTAACCTTTTTTCTATATTGAAACTTATAATTTTGGTATTTAATTTTTTATGTATTATAAATAATCATGTCATAAAAATTATAATTTCTTTCATTTTCATTCCTTTTTATGTTATACAAATGCATTTTGCACCAGATATGTGGGAGCAAAGAGTAGATGGTATGAAAAAATTGAAACCAAATGCAGTTCCCACTATTTTCGGTTTTTTTCTTAAAAAGAAAATATCAGTAGCAGAAAGTGCAAACGATGAAGTATTGACAAAAGATAACGATGTAAGTGATGATATGAAAATCTATATGTGCAATATTAAATTACTAACACTACAATAAGAGATTTATATATTTTTAATGTATTATATAAAATATTTTTTAGATAATAACGAATACTCCTGAATCTTTATCTATAATAGATGTAAGAGAAAATCAAGAAGATGAAAAACAATGTGAAAATCTTGCAACAGTTTATAATGAAGATCAAGATGTGGAATGTGAAGTTAGTTTTAAATTAGTAACATTATACTCAAGTAACACGCTATGTCACAATTACAAATTTTAAAGTTAAATTTTGCAAAACTTTCCTCAAGTCTTGTGACATCAACTCTTAACACTATCGTGAAATTGAGCGTTACTTGATAACAGAATTTTTTTAAATATTTGTACTACCCAACATATTTGCAGATAATTACGAATACTCGAGATGATGAGTCTTTACCTATAACTTATTCGGAAGAAAATAAAGACGATGAAATACAGTGTGAACATAAACAATTGGCAGAAAATTTTTTAAAACAACATGTACGAATGACAAACATGAGAAGACAAATGAAAGTGATGAGGAAAAGAATACAATCATTGAAAACTAAGATGAATACTGATAAATACAAAACAGCTCTAAAATCAATTTTCACTGAAGATCAGATCTAATATTTGTACACAAAGAAACGTGTTAAATATTGGTCCCATAAAACAGTTCATCGTGCATTGAAACTAAAATTTCTTTGTGGAAATAATGGCTATAAAGCACTTATTGATCAAGGATATCCATTTCCAAGTTTGCGGACATTAAGACGAAAACTAGAGGATTTTAAATTTGAGCCTGGAATTTCAAATACATTATTTGAATTTTTACAAAATAAGAAAGCTTGTTTTGAAAACGAAGCGGATTTGGAATGCGGTCTAGTATTCGATGAGATGGCGATTACGCAAAAAATTCGTTATAATTCGTCAACGGGATCATTAAGTGGAAACATAACGTTTCCTAACGAAAAAGGTAGAGCATGCGCTTGTTTTTATGCTTGTCGGTATTAATAACAGATGGAAACATGTGGTGGGCCATCACTT